CTAAATATTAAGATAACTCTCCTCACACTGGCCATCAATATTATCAATATCTAGAAGTTGAAAGAATTATTCTAACTGAAAATTGGTTAGAACAACAATATCAAGATTGCTAATATAGTTTACAAAATTGTCACTGTTATTGGTGTAAAAACAGAAAAAGAATGAACTATAGAGATTATAAATACAGTAACCATCCTTTTCTTTTTTATATAGAAGCTTTGTGATAACAATATCATGTATTGTATATACAATGCTAAAAAAAAAAATACTATCATTATAATTGCATCACTGTTTTTGTTAAACTTACAAATTTGATAACTTTAATATAACTAATGATAAGTTGCATGTATATATATTTGAAAATTAAGGAAATTTATATTTCAGCAATATTTATTAGTAAAACAAACTTATATAGATATACTAACGAGAGGATAGCAATAGACATCATTTTTAATAAAATCTTAATCGGCCTAATAATATCTGGTGTTATCCCAATTAAATGTATTGTTTGCAGCAAGTCATAAAAATCATATTCTTTATACACGTACAAAATAACACAACAAACGTTAAATTCGATACTTATAATACATGTAATGTATTGTTGTATTATTTAATTTAAATGATTTTTGGAACAAAATTTTTATAGTAAGCTATAAATAGATAGTAAAAAAGCACATTATTTTTTGCAGTGTCAATTTGTGGTTCTGTTACAGAATTCACAGTCTAACATTCTACAATTTTGGATATAAAAAATAAAATCATGAATCTATTACTGTATACTGTAAACTTATAAATGTGATTGTATGAATTAAAACTATATTTATACAGTATCTGAGATGTTACGTACTAAAATGTGTGAAAGATAGAGTATGTAATCTCTCACGTCCAGTGATCCGATTCGAGCAAAAATATTCATTCAATTCGTCCAGTAGAGCCGAATCAAATAGCAGCATTTGTGTAAGAACCTTAGTTTATTAAAAAACAGGGTTAGATGATTTTCTTTTTTTTTTGAATATATAATCTTATGATTATAAAGAGGAATTTTTATTATTTGAAAAATTTGAACGCGTGAGTAATTTACAATGACAATTCGAATTGTCGCGTGACGTATATATCTAAATACAAAATATATTAAATACGTATAAGATGATGTATTAAAATAATAAGTTGAAAACACAATAAATACCATCTGGCAGTCTGTATAGAAATGCAGTTGAAGTAAGTCCTGGAAAAAAAACGGATTTGAATCTTCTTATTTCCATTTCAATGTTAAGTAATATAGACTCAAGGGAAAACTTACCCGTTGCTTCGATAGTTTTTGAGATCGATTTACTTTTGTATATCGCGCCTTCGTGAATTTCAGACCTCCTTTTTCTATTTTCTATACTTTTTTTAAATTCATTTTGAAGTCTAAGATAGTTCCATTCTCCGATCGTATTAAGAATTTCATTTGCCGTTGGCCGTTTCAATGGATCCTGAGCCCAACAACGAATCATTAGATCTCGATAATATTTAGGCATATCATCAGGAATATCCGGTCGAATTTCAAAACAAATATCGAAAATGAGTGCGATATCATGACTACGGTTATTAAACGGACGTTCTCCATTCCAAATTTCCCACATTATCATTCCAAAGGAGTAGATATCACTTGCAGTAGTGTATTTTTTAACTTGCAGGACTTCTGGCGCAATGTATGGTATTATGCCACACACCTCATCATCTGTAATTTCGGTTATTTTTCTACATCGTCCAAAATCGGTTACATAGAAAAAATATACACTGCATAAAATATTGCCACTATGCAAGTCCCGATGAATGTATTGACGTTCATGTAAAGATTGTAATCCTATAGTTAAATCAAGTAAGTGGTCATGTAAATAACGGTAGAAGATATTCCCGTTTTTAATTAGATTATATAGTGAACCGTTTTCATAAAAGCGTAGGACTAGAATATAATTTTCCGTTTCTGAATCTCTAGAAATTCCAAAAATCCTCGCCATCTTATTAAAGTGACTATTGATAATGGCAGATTGAATCTATATATTTATATGTGTATATTTAAATAATATATAAGTTAAAACCAAATTTAAATTTAATCGATTCAAAGTAAATATTCACTTACTTCTTGAATTGTATTATGATTTGCATTACTTGAATTGAATATCATCTTTAGTGCAACAAGACTTGGTCCTGCTCGAACTAATTTTCTTTGATTTTCATCGAAATTAATTACATAGCCTGAATTCCAAGTTGCTTTTGATACGCTGCCAAAACCTCCTTCAGCAATTAATTTTATTTCATTGAATTCTTCATACTCAATCCACTCGAGGTAAATTTTAAGTTGAGCTTTGATAATTTCATCAATTTTTTTATTTTTGCTACTCCATGGAGGGAGATCACAGGTAGAACAAAACTGATAAGTATTCAATTTTTCATGACATTTTGAGCATTTCACCTTTTTTTCGTTATTTGACAAATACATTATAAGAGTAAAGTGTAAAGTACAGTAGATTTTTCTAAGTTGAACCCTTCCTTTAGACAAAATCTTCATATATCAAAATTATGTCGTCCGTAGGAAAAATTCACTGTATTTATGATATTATTTGTATTTTTTCAATTTTAAATGTGTACTACATGTATATGTATATTGAACAGAAAAGAACTGTGTACGTATTAAATGTGCATGCACACGTTTAAGTGCTCACTCTCGTAAATTGCCCAGTCCCCATGAGATTGATAACACGAGAATAGACTGTAAATAAAGACCACTAGAAACGGAAAAAAAATAATGAATCCGTGATTGTGATACAAACAAAATCGAGTTAATGAACAAAGTTCATGTACTCCCGTTTTTGGTTACCATTGTTACGCAGAACGCGCCTCTTGTCAAAAGAAGCAAGACAATATGCACAACACGTAAAAGCTGTGCGAATAAGTTTTAAAATGCATATACTCGCATTTTTCATATGTTCATAAATTTCGTGCAGTTTGTCCGACGGCTTGCAATTTTCCCTAGAACTCAATAAATATGTCGTTAAAAGAAGAAATCACTAAAAATAAGTTGTTAGACCAACATGGCAACACAATTATTGCTCAAAGTAAAACCGTTACGAATTTGCAAATTAGAATCTCGGATGACCAACAAGTTTTTTCTTCCACTTCTAGTTCAACCTTTTCATCATCAAATGTGAGCGGAATCAACAGTAGCAACGTTGACGAAATAGTAACAGTATCAGAAACAGTTTCGAATACTTGTATTACTAAGGTTAAAGATATTGATAGTAATGGAAAACGTCATACTAATGATAAAGAATTGATATTAGAAAAGACTGACATAAAAGTCACAATTGATAGAGATACTCAATCATCATCTTACAATGAGAAGAATAAAGTACACCGTTCTATTGTTCAAATCACAAATATCGCGACTCGAGCTGCTAAAGCTATGACCACCAAAACAGAAAGTGGGAATTCAACACGAAAAGGATTTTCTCACTTATTTAAACCTTTTTTGCCTACTGAAACCGTGGAAGCATTAAGAGAATTTGTTCAATTATTTAAACGAGAATGGCATGCAAAAGAAAAAGGTGAAGAATCACTAGAAGATATTGGATCATTCGGTCGAATCATTGAAACGCTATCTACATGGGCCTTTCTACAGGATGTCACTGTTACAAGATGGGGGATGGAAATGGGTGGATGGAAGAAAATAAAATTAGCAGATTTCCGAGAATTTTTAGACCATGACAGTTCAATTTACGATGGAAAAGAAAATGAAGAAATTGCGCTGATTAGCTCAAAAAACGATGACAATAATATTGTGATCGGTGAGCTTACTCAACAAATGCATGATCTTTCCAATGAATGTTCGAAACGTGAACTCTGTTCGGATGCCTTCAATAATCCTTATATGGACGATCTAACCGAAGAGAAAAAATCATATTCTTCATTACTGCACAATCTTAAGCGATACTCGAAATTCTCTTCTACAGCATATGACATAAAGACAGTGTTTCGGCGGAATCGGGCTCATAAATATTTTTCAAGAGCAAATAATTTATCTTTAGAATCAATAGTTTATTCCTCTTTTCAGAATTCACCTTCCGGTACACAATATTCACCAACTTATTATATAATTCGAGATCACTCGACGAAATCAATTATTCTCGCAATACGTGGGACAATGTCAATACATGATCTAATTGTGGATCTATCATGTGAATATGAAGATTTCATATTGCCCGAAGATACACAGAACGAAGATTCAACACCTAATAAAGTGCACAGCGGAATAATGAAGGCAGCAAGAGCTTTGGCAACTCCGGGACAATCATTATTTGAAACATTGAAACGTGAATTGGAGCAAAACGAAGATTATGGTATTGTGTTAATTGGACATTCCTTAGGAGCTGGTATGTATTTTCCATTTTTGATATATAACCTTCTGTTCTCTAGCTTATTTTTTCAATTATAGGCATCGCAAGTTTATTGGCACTTCTTTGGGCATCACCGGAAACTCGCATGACAACACGATGGAGTCATCTACCATTAGGACGTCGTGTTCATGCATATGCCTTTGCAACACCTTGTGTGATGTCTGCTGGATTATCCAAACGTGCTAA